GTTTGCCACAGTTTCTATAAAAACCTAGAAGATGAGAGTTAATGGGCAGCTTCTGCGCTCTTTTAGCTGACTTGCCTGGTATAGTGACCATGGTCTCCATTCCTGAGAGTTCTGAACCCATGGTTCCTGTGTCCTCTTCAGACTACAACTACTTGTCCATCTGCAGTGAATGTCAGGAATAGGAATACCACAAATGTCCCTGTAGATATCCTGAATCCTAAAAATATTCCCTCTGGCCCCTGTAGCTCCTAACGTTGACTACTGCCCTCATGGCACTAGAAGTCCATGGAATAAGGTGGCAGCCAGGGGTTTAATTCCAATCAGAACTTTACCATGTCCCTTCCATTTAGTTTTCCTGCCTTAGAGCCGTGATCTCTAGTTGAACACAGCCTACAATTCTGGTAGAAGGAGGCACAAATTCCCCCCAAGGGATCATTGGGATGAAGGTAGTCGGGAAACGTCTCCTTTAACTCTCACATCTAATCAGTATATTCAAAAACAGACCATGAAGGATTGTGGGTATCCAGCAAGGAGTTCAACTCAGATCCCATGTCCAACAGTCTGCAAACATATGAGTATTTCAGCGTGCTCTGAGACAATGGCTGTAGATTCCTCAGGCAAGGATTAGAGAAATTCTATGATATGCACTTGCCGTTGTCCTTCACATCCGATGGCTAACAGACACAAGGAAAGATGTTCGACATCACTCCTCATCAGGGAAATACAAATCAAAACCACAATGAGATACCACCTCACACCTGTCAGAATGGCAAAAATTAACAACTCAGGAAACAACAGATGATGGAGAGGATGTGGAGAAGGGGAACACTTTTGCGCTGCTGGTGGGACTGCAAACTGGTACAGCCACTCTGGGAAACAGTATGGAGGTTCCTCAGAAAATTAAAAACAGAGATTTCCAAATTATGGAAAGAGTCCAAATGTCCATTTGGTCCTAACCATCCTATTGATGGGTTAATGGTCTGAAAACAGCATAGTCTGCAAACTGTCATCGATCATGGCTTTCCATTTGATCCATAATCTCAGCCTTTGTTCTTTTATTTTTTTGTAAAAAAAAAAATTTATTGATTGATTTTAAGAGACAGAAAGTGATAGAGAGTGAGCACACAAATGGGGGAGGGGCAGAAAGTGAGAGGGAGAAAGAATCCTAAGCAGACTCTGCACGGTCAGTGTAGAAGCAAACACAGGTCTTAGTCTCACAAACTGTGAGACAATGACTTAAGCCAGCCAAAATCAAGAGTCAGATACCTAACCAACTGAGCCACTGAGGCTCCCCTGTTCTTTTATTCTTAAGCTCTTTTAAATTCATGTACACACACACACACACACACACACACACACACACACACACACATATAATTGTACCTTAGTTGTCTGCCCCATTACCTACTATGTGGGACATCATGCTCTCTTATCCATACTGCTAGGTCCCTGAGGGTGACACATCATTCTGCCCCCTTTGTCATTCCAACCTTGCTGGCAATCACATAATTATATCCACAGAACTTTCTAAAGTTACATGTCCACCTGGATTCTGCCATTCAGGGATAATATCATCCCTGTTTTTCCTAGGGAGCATAGTTTAGCCACTTCTATCTGATTTTAGAGAATAATCACTACTATCTCAGTACCTAGCTGACAGTGATACTTGATGATTCCATAATATCTTAGTAAAGAGAGTACCTCCTGATCTCTCCAAGGGAACATAGCCAGTTAGGCTTTGTGACTTTATAACCTTATTTGAGCATTTCTACTTCTCTGCACTTTCAATCCCTCCCTTCTCACCCGAGTGTGCTGTGGCCATAGATAAATCTATACTGGTTACCTACTGTTATGTAACATTACCTCAAAATTTAGCAGCTTAAAATGACTCTCATTTGTTATCTCATTTCCATGGATCAAAAACCAGGCAGAGCCCACCTAGACTCTCCAATTCATAGAGGTTCACTAGGTTGCACTCAAGGTGCTGGCTGGCACTGGGGTGTCATTTGAGGATGCGACTGGGGAAGAATCCACTTCCAAACTCACTTATATGGTCATTGGCAGGATTCAATTCCTTGCACTCCACAGGAGGGAGGACCTCACTTCCTTGCTGGTTGTTGAATGAGACTGTGCTCAGTTCTTTGCTGCAAGGATCTCTCCCACATAGGACCTGGCTTCATCAAAGCCAGTGAGAGAGAGAGAAAGAGTTGGCATTAAAATGAAAATCACAGGACTCCTGGGTGGCTCAGTAGTTAGGCGTCTGACTTTGGCTTGGGTCATGATTTCACTACTCATGAGTTCGAGCCCCATGTTGGGCTCTGTGCTGATGGCTCAGAGCCTGGAGCCTGCTTCAGATTCTATGGTCTCCCTCTATCTCTGCCCCCCACCCCCACTTGTGTGTACTCTCTCTCTCTCTCTCAATAATAAATAAAAACATTAAAA